GCGATCGTTGACAAATGTTAATTGTAACTTTCTCATAAGTCCAAATACGATGAGAAAATGTCTAATGTCTATTTTACAGCCTATAGTCTGCAGACAGATCCTGCTGCTCTGATCTATCAATCGATCTGTTGCATTCAGCACCATGGACAGAGAGAGACTGATATGATGATATATCATATGATATGATTTAAATTGTTGAGCGGCAGACTTTTAATAGACGGCGATACATGATTGTCGGCGATACGCTGCTGTGTGCTATGCATAGGTTAGACTGTCGTTAGGCATAAGTTGTGGACGCTGGCAACACGTTAAGCATTAGTTGACATAAGTTATCTATAAGTTATCAAAGCGTTCTATATAAGTTACTAATACGTTATGTATACATCTAACTCATTATGAATAAGCTATGTATACGCTATGTATATATGGTTCAGCGTATGCCAGCGTTTTAGGGAAATTCTGGTATGTCGGCATATGCTGGCTAAATTGTCAAGGTGTGACAGGGCTGGTGGTAGAAACGCCTCCTCCGCCTTTACTCTAGAAGTCACGCTTGTTTACACCCAGTGCATGTTCAGAATTACTGTTGACGTGACCTGTCTAGAAATATTTTTGCGACCGACTCGTCAGTTTTTAGACACTTCGTCTGCTTGAGTCGTGCCATCGCTGGAAGGAAGCTCCAAGAATCACCTCAGTTTGTCTTCGCTCCTTTTCCCCTTCTCTTCTTCTTTTGCCGACCTCAAAAACGGACTTTCTTTTGCGGCAAACTGGTCATGGGTTCTCATCTGCCATCGCAACAAACTTTGTGCGAATTGCAAAGAAGCAACAGTTTGAAAAAGCCTCTAAGAACCGTTGCATAAACCATGTAATCCCCGCGCGCCGGTGAGTCATTTACACTAGAAACGTAGGGAGTTTGATTGACAACCCAACAGCCAATAGATAAAGAGGGAGCCTTGTCTATTGGCTGATGTTTTGATAGATTTTCATTCTTTTTTTTTTTTTACTTACAAGGCTGCTGCATCTCTGTAATGGTATTTTAAACTTTAATTGACAATTTGAAACAAAAATAAATAAATAAAATTCTCCATAAAACCTTTAACTGGATGATCTATTCTTGATGACAGCATATTTTTCTTTGAATAAATGTTCAAGTTGGAAATGTAATTAACAGTTTAGATTACATTTCACAGACAAAGATTAATTATGATGTTTATTTTATACAGTTGTCAAAATGTGTTGAACTGTTTGGAATAACGTCAAATTGTAGTTTTCCTGAAAATAATTGCTCTTTAAATTTGAGCTGCACTATACAAGCTTTCTAGTGGGGGATATGCCACTTGTTTGTTTCCATGGTGCTTCGAATGTTCCACAGTATGGCATCAAATGTATGATCTCCATGGAGACACCACACCACCAAGCCAAGTTACAGGTCAGATCTGTGGAGAGGTGACCCCACTCACACTAAGAATGCACATTTTCTTGGCACTTTTGAGCAATAAAACCACCTGGAACTGAATAATTGAAACATACAGGCTTAATACAATACTGTGAAACATTCCAGGCAAAGCAATACCATCTCCATGGAGACAAGCAGGTTTAAGAGCCTCTGACACACAGGGATATTTCAGAATATGCCCGCAGAGGTTTAAAGTACAAGGTTAGCAGCTTTTACACAGAATAAGACCCCGTGGAGACATGGGGAGGGCATCTGACACATACATTATATTACCTAAATAACCTTTGTGATTTCCAACCAGTTCAATTACAATCAAACTCTGTTGTATCAGTCCTGGTCCCATAGTTAAAAGCTGTTTTATCATCAAAACTATATAGCAATTTGCTTTCAGACAACTGCATCCAATTGACCATTTTTCACTTTTATCGGCGAGTTGTCTGAGGAGCCCTTAGAGACTGTTGATGCTCTTTCCAGCCAATAAAAATACACATTGTCTCGTAGTAAAATAAAATAAAACCATAACCTAGTTTTATATGGCGGCTATTACGCCGCTTTAAAAACAACACTTTACGATCTTGCTTCATCCCAAACATTATTCACAAACAGACGTTTTAGTGCACAGAGGGGATACCTGCCCGCTAACCTTGACTCGCACCGGTTATAAAAGTTCTAAAAGTCAGTTGTAAAAATGGAAATATGCAGAGGCGGGTAGTACTCAGTTACTTGTCTGCTGCATATTTTTACTCCTACTTTAGTAATAGTTTTACGGAAATAACTTGAGTAAAATTTGTGGTTACTCTTCCCACTGCGAGTAAATCTACAAATGACAAAAGCTCTGTGTCGACAATATAAAATGATTTGAACATTTGTGTTTCTTGCAGCGCTTGCAGTTTGTGCGCTTGTGTTTGTCCTTTAACAATACCACATTTTGTGCATTATTTCATATTTTGTCCTTCAAAGTATGTTCACTTAAAAGCCACAGTATGTTAGCCTGATTCATCAGCCGGTTTCACTTCACGGAAACTGTCTGACCTCGCAGCAATAGAATTCGTTTGCTCAATGGTAGAAGGGGACTTTTTTATTTAACCAATCGCTGCTATTTGGTGGTGACGTATGTAATGCTCCGCTAACGGGGCTAACGGGAATATTAAGCTTGTCCCAAATCCTGTAGGAAGAAGAACAATAACGTCTTTCCCCTTGATAAAATTCACCAAACATTCTATTTATTCCTGCTTTAAATCCTCGATCTCAGGAATCGTTACCAACACAGAATGTTTGTCTTCGTCTACATCCATCTCAACGCTTTGTTTACTGTTGTGCTGTACCAAAAGTTTGAGGCCATGACCTCACAGCTCACATCTGATTGGCCAGTGCGTGGTCTACAACTTCCGGGGTTCTTGCTAATCATCTAGTGTATTCTGATTCCTGACCTAGTCTCTGGAGAGAAATTAAATTGAGCGGAGGCACTAGGTGGCGCCAACCTGGCTAACAGTGTGTGACTTTTTGGACAAAAACATTATCCATCATTATGGATGTTTTTATTACACTGAAAATCATGTGTCCTTACTGTAAGCGGGATTGCATCTTCACAAACCTGACTCTTATTTGGCCTCCTCCTGCTTGTTTCCATGGAAATGTTAGCTATAGTCTTCTACAGTATGGAATAAAACATATATACTATCACTTTAAATATAACAAAAATCTCTTTACGTTACTATAACTTGAGAAGTACTTTTTTCAAATGTTATTTTACTCTTACTTCTTGGACCCCTCTTTGTACTCCTATTTGAACAGTATTATTTTGAAGTAACATTACTCTTACTTGAGTACACTTTTTGCTGCTGTAGTGACTCTGGAAACACGGGAAACACGCCCTGGCCGATAGTGTAATACACCACAAACGGTGTATTTGAAATGTCTCTCAGGAGAATGGGGAAAGGTGCTGGTTGCCATGTGCGTGGTAAATCGCACCAACTATAACCATTTCTGCCTCCAATTTATTTTCCTTTTAATTTCTCCCTGGCTCTGCTTTTTAAAATTCATGGACTTTCTTATCTCTGCTCCCGAACGATAATTGTAATTCCCCCGAGTCGGCGAAAAGTGCTCAAAATGTCTGATATGAGAAAGTCGCTTATAACTTGTACAGGTGTGTGTCACTAAATAAAAAACATGCAATTTTCTCTTATCAGATGGAATAATAACTAGCACTACAATTACTACTACTAATACTACAATGATTATGACTATGACTACTGCTGCTGCTACTACGATTACTAATACCATGACACATTGGTCTACCCACATCATTTTAAAATGACTTTCAATCCAAGGTCAATGCTTGTACAGGCCTTTGTTTTTGCTACAGACCTGACGTATAAACACAGTCATATATAGGGATTGTGAAGTGTCTTGCTCAACAATACAATGGCACAATCAATGGCTTCAGTGATTAAAAATGTTCAGTTCAAAAGAAAATATGCGTATTGTGAATGAGTGAAACAAGTCCTCAAAATGGTGAGAGTAAATAGTAACATCTTCTTATTGTTGTGTGAATAACCCTAACCACTGTGGCTATGATGTTACTTGGTCTGGAATGTTCCACAGTATGGCATTGAGCTCATCTGTCTCCATGGAGACAAGCAGATGACACCACCAGACCAAGTTACATGTTACATCTGTCGAGAAGTTGTCACTAAATGATTTATCTGATATTCTTGAGTAATAAATACACCTGTTATTCAATGAAGGGAAGATAGACAAGTTTAATGCCATACTGTGGAACATTCCAGGCAACACAACAACATGAATACACAATACTGGGGGTGTTCTGCATGTATGTTTCAGCATTTACATGAGGACACTAGCACAGGGGTCTCCAACCTTTTTCCTCTGATGAGCTACTTTAACAAAATAAAAATGCCAAAGAGCTCCTCATTTTAGTGGTCACAAGAAACGGAGTAAATGTAAGAGCCACGGCCTTAAATGGAGCACAGTTAGATGCTTATACTTTCATTTGGTGCACCACTTAGTCATTAAAATGATACATTTACAATGGTAAGAGCTTTTAAATCAATCCAATTTTAGTTATTCAGGACTATACATGTAATTCAGAAATCCCTTGGTGAGCTACTTGGAAGGGGATGGAGAGCTACTGGTCACTCCTGAGGTACACGTTGGAGATCCCTGCACTAGCACTAGCACTGCCAAAAATGTTTTAAGATGGTCTGAAAACTCAAGAAGGAGCCTGTGATCAATAGTTCAGTTCAGGGTCCTGTTTAGGAGTTTCAATTTCAGTGGAAAGGTTGTTGAAACTTACCTGTTGTAGTTCCAGGTAAGTCAGTCCTTTTTGGTTTGATTGTGTTAAAATCAAGCTAGGATTAAAGTCTAACTTGTGTAAAAGAGCTTCAGACAGAGCAGTGCCTACAGTTAGAAGCACAACACCAGGAAATGTTCATGATGTCAGCTGCAAAATATCAATGTGTACAAAGTCCAAACCTACATGAACTGAACCCTACCCGCCCTGTTCACCCCCGCCCGTGTGCCGCACCTGTGAGGGAGCTGTCCAGGTTGTCCATGCTGGATCCAGGGGTGTGCTCCAGACCACGGGGGAGTCTGGCCCCGTAGCCTTCGTCCTCCTCGTCCTCGTCCTCCTCTTCGTCGTCGGGCAGGTCTGTCTCTAGCCCGGACACCATGGTGCTGGACACGTACCCCACCGGAGGAGCAGGGGCCTGGGGAGGGAGCGAGCCGCCCTGCATGTGCCTGAGGAAAAACACACTGGAGTTATGGTTCATGGTTCAGAAGAGTTACTGCTGAGAAAATACCTAGACTTAGGCTACGTTCAGACTGCAAGGCTTAATGCTCAATTCCGATTTTTTTGTGAAATCCGATGTTTTTGCGATGTCGTTCACATTTCCAATTAAATGTGACTTGTATGTGACTCCAGTGTGAACATTAAACGGCCCAATGACGTCAACCTCAGTGAGCGTCTCTGTGTTTACAGAAGTTGTCCAAACATGGACGCAGCATTGAGCACCTGGAGATTTTAAAGTTCCTCTCGTACCGGAGCCAGAACATGAACAACTTACTTGTTTTAAGGAGGAGATTGAGAAGGAGAAGGACGAGGTTTTTGGTCGTGGTGTTTTGTGGGACACCGGCAGCGACGTCTGTTGAAAAGAACATGTGGATGTGGAGACGTAGCCAAGAGTGGTGAGTGGTGAAGTGTGGTGGGAGTTCATTAACAATTTTCACCTACTTCAGCGCAGAATAGTGACGTTTGTGTCTTGTTGATAACTTGTAGGTGGATGAATGCACTTTGGCCGTTCAGACTGAAGTCACATGTCAAAAGATCAGATATGTATCAGTTTCAGGAGCACATATCCAAGTGTCCTGAGTCACATTTGAAAAAAATCGGATCTGTGTCATTCAGACTGTCATTAAAAGATCAGATACAGGTCACATAGGGGCCAAAAAATCAGATTTGGGTCACTTCAGGCTGCAGTCTGAACGCAGCCTTAGATATTTTCTTGTTCGTTTTTTGCGTGTCACGGTTGCTATAGTGGGTATATTGAAGAAAAGTCTGAACATGCTATGCTGAATGTACTTGTATATAGCGCTCTAAAAATGCTATTCTGTCCTGTGTATGAGCAAACAGTACAATAGTTGGGTGCTTGAGGATGAAGAGTTTTGCACAAGGACACAACACAAGTATACAACTGACCACTCAGAGTTTGAAGTGGTTAACAACCCCGTCAGGAAAAAGTAAGAGTTTCAGTTTTGCCCAAGTGCAAATATATAGTGAATGCAACAAAGCTGTGTTCTGTCTGCGTGTAAGCGTAAAACTCTTTAATCTTCTGCAAACCAGGAATAGCACTGTTAGCATGCTAGTTTTTTTTTAGTGTTATAGTGTTTATAACAGTGATTGTATAAAAAGTGGACAAAGCGAAGCAAATGAAGCTCATGATGCTAAAGGTTACAAGAATGAATTTGGAGCCAGACTCTATATTATTCATGTGATTTTTTATTTTATTTTTTTAATGCGCAAAATCATGAAAAGAGAGAGAGAAAAGAGGCTCACAGAAGAGAGAGGAATCACAATATTTCAATGTAAGTTAATGGGAGCCAGAGTCAGAAGGAGCCAGAAGAGCCACGTGCGAACTTCTGATTTGGAAAGTGGCGGCTAGTGCGTTAGCTGTGACCATTTATATACAGTCTGTGGCTTATAACTAATCATGGTGAATAATTAGGAAGCTCGGAAAGCTTTATCATCAAACCCGGTCCCATTACAGTAGTTAGCATTTTGGTGCTAAAAGAGAGAAAACGATAGCCTGATTCATCAGCCGGTTTCACTTTCACTGACCTCACAGTGTTAAAATTCGTTTGCTCGACAGTAGGCGGGTATTTTTTATCATTTAACCAATCACTGCTGTTTGGTCATGACGCATGTAATGCGCCTCTAAAGGGACTAACTAGGATATTAAGCTTTTCATAATCCCGTACAAAGAAGGACAATAACGTCTTTCCCCTTGATAAAATTCACCAAACATTCTCTTTGTTTTGGCTTTAAATCCTCGACCTCAGGAATCGTTGATAACACAGAATGTCTGGCTCTTCGCTGATTGGCTGGTGCCCAAACTCGTACTTCCAGGGTTTTTGTGAAATGTCTAGTGCAGGCATGTCCAAACTATGGCCCGGGGGCCAAATGCGTGAATTGGCCCAAATTACCTTACATCAACTAAAAATTATTTTTTATTTCAAGTTTTTTTTTTTGAAAATTTACCTTGATAAAGCTAATAATTAATATTTAGTGTGTGGTTTTAAGGATCTTGGCATGAATAAAGTCTGACAGCTCACTCTAATGTGTTACACATGCAAATATTTCAATTATTCACTGCATTGAGCGTCAATCTACGGCCCTCGATCGGCCCTCTGTGTCATCTGTGTTTAGATATGTGGCCCTTGATGAAAAAAGTTTGGACACCCCTGGCTTAGTGTATTTTGATTCCTGATCTAGTCATCGGAGAGAAATGAAACTGAGCGGAGGCACTAGGTGGCGTCAGACTGGCTAAGAAAACAAGAGGGATGGACTCAAATAAATCATTACAGAGATAGTTAAAACAATAAATATTGAGTAGAGCCAGATGATAGCTTAGTATAACTATTTTAAATCTGATTTCGATATTTGTCGACACTAAATAATAGTAGCTTGATTTTTCTAAATTTGATCATTCTAAAGTTATTCAGGAAAAGTCCAATATTGTCTTGTGTTTTATACATACTGTGCTTTTTCCAGTATGTTCAAATGCATGTCTAGTTTCTATAATAATTTTAGGGTCAGACTGTGGAAACTTTTATTTATTTATTTATTGACAAATAACTTTATTCACATAAAATTGGATGTGTAATTATCATCCAGTATCGTTGCTTGAAATCATGAGAAAACACACACATACACACACACACACACACACACACACACACATACACACACATACACACACACATACATGCACACATGGACACTTTGCAATAACAAGCACTCCTCACTGCCGTACATAAGGCCGGGCCATGTCATGCTAATCAGCGACATCCTTTCACATGTAAAGCGCCGCATACATTTAGCCAACGCGCTAATTCTGTGTTGCCGCTACATGCTAACACAATGACCTGATAATTGCCGCGGCGTTGCTACAAAGACGCCCCCCCGTCACCTCTCGGCGCGCAGCGAGGGCGGTCGTGCCTTCCACCGCCGGGCCTGCAGTGTGGGATTGTGGGTAATTGTGCGGCTGTCAGGGAGGCTGTGGAACCTACATAGTCATTACTGAATAACATGACATCTCCTCCTGACAGGGTCTTCCAACGCACCACGACCCTCCTCCGCCAACACCGACGCACACTGCAAAACTACACACTTCAGTTCAGGAAAAAGTCTGGGTTTGAGAAGTTTGACAAGTTTGGATTCATGAACATGATCGACCTACAAAATACTGAAGGCAACAACAGGCATTTTTGGCATTTTTGGTTTGATTCTAAACCATATAATACTATGGCAAGTACTGCGATATCAATCTGATACTGATACCAGTGAGTTTTATGTTCAAATGTATTGACTTATAGCTTGACTCTACTCAAGCTTTAGCTCATCTAAAAACGTAATAATCATATAGATGAACTAAAATGCAAGCAATGTATTTCAAAGTTCATTCTCAGTATCAATATACAGTGTTGGGAAGGTGACTTTTAAAATGTATTCCCTTACAGATTACAGATTACATACCCCAAAATGTAGTTTGTAACGTAATCCATTAAATTACTTAAAGTGAGTAATGTAATCTGAATACTTTGGATTACTTGATTTGCTGTAGAGAAGCAAAGACGAGGAAATCGTAACATAAAATGTTTTATATGTTAAAAGACAATGAAAAGCCCAGACTTTACTGAACCAGATTAAAAATATTATTGATAGAAGAAGAGGAGACAAGATCCGCGCAGCATGATTTAGTCCTGTTAAATCCTGTTTTAGACCTGGTTTTAGTCCTGGTTTAGTCCTGGTTCAGTCCAGGTTTATACCTGATTTTAGACCTGGTTTTAGTCCTGGTTTAGACCTGGTTTCAGTCCTGGTTTAGTCTGGGTTTAGACCTAGTTTAGACCTGGTTTTAGACCAGGTTTAGAACTGGTTTGGTTTGGGAAAAGCCCAAAATGTGAAAACAGGAAAATACCTCTGTGTAATCCATTTATTTCAACAAAGTAACTGTAATCTAATTACCACTCACTGAAACAGTAACTGTAACTGAATACAGTTACTCATAATTTGTACTCTGATTACGTAACTCAGGTACATGTAATTTGTTACTCCCCAACACTGTCAATATATCTAAATTAGTTATGGATCCACGGATTACAACTAGATTTTTTGTAGACTTTTTTTATTAGATCAACAACATGGTTAGTCCAGATATGGGTTCAAACAGGTTAAGGCTCGGGTTAAAGTGGACTTTTGGACTTTTTAAAGCTTTTAACCATGTTCACTTTTCTCCTTCTCCATTTGCTCGCTCAAAGTTGTCATTGGAGTGTTTCGTGCATACTGAACAACCTTTTAATTACTTATTTTCAAGACACCATATTGCTGATCTACCCCCGTTTACACCACCACCACCAGCAGCATATGTGCTGTGGGCTGCTCTGTACTTACTTCCTTCTCCAATTATATTTTTGTAATCAACATGTAGGATTTGGCAGCATTGCAAAATCATTTTGCTACAAATTAAAAAAAATATATATACATGTGGCTTGATTGCCTGATGTGCAACTACGCACAGGAGGAGCTGACTGCATGCGGCGCTTTGTTGTGATGACGTTTAAGGCAACGCACATTTTCTTTTTCAGTGTGTTTTCTAGCAAGTTGTTTTCAGGGATGTAGTGGGCGTGGTTCGCGGGGGTTCGCAGTCCACCCACTTCTCCCAATGTGAGATATAAAAAATAACAAATATAAAATAGGTACAACTTAAATGTCAAACCAGAGCTACTGGCACTGGTGAAAATAACCTGTCTTATAGTGACCTGCGATATGAGGGGACCAGGACTGAGCCCAGGACTGAACCAGGTCTAAACCAGGTCTAAACCAGGACTAAACCAGGACTGCACCAGTAGAACTAAACCAGGACTGAACCAGGACTAAACAAGGACTAAACCAGGTCTAAACAAGGACTAAACAAGGTCTAAACCAGGACTAAACCAGGTCTAAACCAGGACTAAACCATTTCTAAACCAGGACTGAACCAGGACTAAACCAGAACTGAACCAGGGCTGAACCAGGACTAAACCAGGTCTAAACCAGGACTGAACCAGGGCTGAACCAGAACTGAACCAGAACTGAACCTGGACTGAACCTGGACTGGAACCAGGACTAAACCATTTCTAAAACAAGACTAAACCAGGTCTAAACAAGGACTAAACCAGGTCTAAACCAGGACTGAACCAGGACTGAACCAGGTCTAAACCGGGTATAAACCAGAACTGAACCAGGACTGAGTGTCAGGATGTGTCCAGAGGTCCAGCGCCGTACTGTCGGGTGACCGCATCATCATCATCATCACATCGCTGACGTCACGAATCACGTACCCCCACTTAAAAAATCCCCACTACGCCACTGGTCATTTTAGATTAATACTCTGATTTAAAATGTCCAAATTGATAACATATTGATCCACGAGTGTTAGATTATAAGTATAGAGCTCACACAAACACACTAGGTTTTCCATGAATAATTGTTCTTATATAAGTAAGAAAATCTAAATTAGTTTTTACAGTGCAGTTTCTCATTCCCATTCCTGACAGCCACGACTGAACTGAAGCACGGCCTTCATCTGACTTGCATGAACAATGGAACGTAGCGCGCGACGTTACCATGTGGGGGGGTGAACGCGCTGGAGAGGGGAGGGGCGGGGCGGGGGGAGAGAGCGGGAGACATACAGTGGCTGCCTAAGTGCTAGCGCAGCCCCATTAAAATGAAATGATGTATGGCTTTATCTATGCGCCGCACACGTCTGAAGAATCCACGGAGAGAAGGATAAATCAGAGGAGCCGTAAACATGTAGCCGAGCGTACAGTAAGCACTTTCAAATGACAACACCGTTCTAGCTGCGACCGTATTTTCACGTGTCAAAGCAGAGCCAAAATGGAGGATCGGATTGTTTTCGTCCCCACGCATAATTGGACAACTATTTGATTACATGATAGAACCACAAACCAGGATCTTGTGTGGAATTTTATAGACTGTGTTGTAATGTCTCAGGTGTCATATTTGATATCCACGGTGTTGTGTAATCGCTGCATAAGAAAACAAGATGTGATTCTAAAAGTTTATGACCATGTAGTGTTACCTCGCACAAACTGGCACTGATACCTGAGGCAAATGTAATTCCAGGATTATATCATTGTTTATTTCAAATTGTTAATTGCTTTTTCCAAACCTTACAGGAGTCAAAAAAGAAAAAAAAAGAGACTGTGTTCACACCTTTACTGATTTGGCCCTGGCTTATTCCAGGTTTAGTCTTGATATAGTCTTGGTTTGGTCCTGTTTCAGTACAGGGTTAGTTATGGTCCAGTCCAAGTGTAGTTTTAGATAAAAAGGGGAGATCTTCGGCCTTGGAAGCTCTGGCAAAATCTAAAGGCTGCCACACACTACAGGATGTTTCAGTCTTAAACGTTTTTTAAAAATGTGACAAAATATGCACACCACACACACGAGGAGAATCTTATGAGATGTTAAATCTCTGATTGCAAAGACTGCAGCGGGATATGTCTGCGGACCACAGGATATAAAGCTGTGATCACGTCTGCTGTTTCCTGTCTCCAATAAAACCAGCCGTTCTGAGACTCTGAAGTGTTCAAAGATCACACAAAGATCACTTCTGGTTTAGATACAAGTCAAAACTGTGTTGTTATTATGTGTGAAATGTGGCGCAAAACTTCAGATACATAATATTTAAAGCATAAAAGATTGAAGATAAAGTCCACAGGAAGTAGAGTCACTATCACTAATCTGCAGCTTCATCTTGATCTGTGCGCTGTGTGGATGTAAACAGACACACATGAGGAACTACTCCCACTTTTTTACTTTTTAAAGAACGACTCAAACTGGATTAATATCAATGTTTTGTAGACTGGGTGTCATTATTTGCTGAGGACAATTTCTATAGCTAATGTGGATGAGATGCAGCACTTTAAATTTACCACTTTACAAGAGGTGAGGAATCAAGTCTTCTTATTTTTCTATCCCGAGTTTGTATTTTGCATCTGTTTACTCTGTCACTCCTCTTCTCCTCACGCTTTGTTTTATTGGCTGTTGCTGTAGCCTTGCTGATGCTGCTGATGTTGCTGGTGCAGCTCAGAGTCACATTGACAGAACACGTGAGGAGCGCAGCGGCTTCAAAATCACACACGAAGACATAAAGTTGTGTCACGCCTCCCCGAACTCAGGGAGAAGGAAATCACAGTCTTTACTTGTACACGAATTACACTTTACTAATTATAAGACTGATATCAACGATTCACAAAAAAACATCACTATTTCCAAATTTGTGGCTTGGTGAGGAATTATTCTTTTCTATTTCTATCTGCTTTTTGCCATCTTGTTTTCATTTGAGTCTCTGTTCTGTCTTGTCCAATTATTGCAGTACAGTGTAGCTCCTCTTCATCATGTGGACTAGTATCCGATCAGGGCCCCTTTGCCTTCTGAGAGGTAGTAGCTCATGTGGCTCCAGCAGACCCTTCAGACAGTCCAGTATGGGTCACTTTAGACAGGAGAAACTCTTTTACACAGTACAGATCTGCTCCATATCGCCCCTATTGGTAAAATGTCTGTATAGTCATTTTGATGTAGTGGGTGTGGACAAATATGAACACTGCCAGAGCAGAGTTTTGCCACTTTTAGAGATTGCTCTAATGATTGATTTTTATTTATTTTTTTCTTAATTAGGATGATTACAAATTTCAAATATGTATCAAGTAAAACAGTATGATACTAAAACTTACTCAAGTAACTGTAACTAAGTAAATCATTGTCAATAAAATCAAACTGTTAGTCTAATGGATGCGTCTCTCACCATGTCTGCTTGGCCATGTCCATCTGGTATGCCCGGGTGAGCTCGTCCAGGTGCGCCTGGAGCATGGGCTGCATCTCGTCGCGGGGGGAGGGGGTGAGGGTGGCGGTGGACTGCTGGCCGAAGGAGACCGCGGCCGGGGACGAGGCCACCCCTCTGATGGGCGGAGTGGGCACCCTCTCCTCCTCCTCCTCCAGCTCGTCCTCCATGCCCTGGTGCAGGTAGGTCTGCACGGGCATCGGGGGGCCCCAGCCGTCACTGTCATAGCTGCAACACAGAGGCAGAGGGCACCGTTTACACAAGGCAGGTTATTGTATTATTTTTATGTTTAAACTCTGTATTGTCTACTGTCTCTTTTCATTTTTGAGAGTAGGGACGTTTTCAATTTCAAGTACTACGTGACATCACACAGGACTGCTATGATTACAGACAGGTGTTTCTGATACAAACACCTGTCTGTGGGGCGGAGTCTGAAGTGTGGATACCTGCTCGACCAATCACAATGTTCTCCTGCATAGTAATATAAGTATAATGACATACTAAGGTAATACTTCTACTACTACTACTACTATTACTGCTAGTAGTACAACCACCACTCCTACTGCTGCTGCTGCTTTTACTAATACTACTACTAATACAACTAGTGCTACTACTATAACAACTTCTACTAGTACGACTATTACTACTCCTACTGCTACTACTACTACAGCTACTGCGACGGTGATGACTGGTATTGCTTGTGCAACTTACTAATCTTACTACTTCTTCTACTACTCCTACTACAACAGTGACTACTACTGCTACTGCTCTTACTGCAACTACTACTAATACTTTGAAGTTCACTGAAGTTCTAGTATTTTCACATTACGCATACTTGTATATATTAGATTATTGAAAATGGAGGTACATCAGTTGTCACCTTGAAGTTTTATTCTAGCGTCCACGTCCCGCTCGCTCTTGATTAAAAGCTCTCTGTGATGTCTTCATTCTGTGCATATATTCCCTTTACAGCAGCAGGACGTTTTACGAGCGTGACCTTGTCCAAGTTTGTGCCACAGTTCCGATGTGACAGTTATGGCTCGGCTCAACTCCGGACCGGACCGCTTATGCGCCCTGGAATATTACGCCTCATAAAGAAGGACGTTCATTAGAGGAATTCGTCAGCTTAATCTGCGTCGTTAAGAGCTCGCAGATTTACGCTGGACTGGAGTCATTGGGACTATTATGGGATGGGAGATGGACAGGGAGGAGGACAGGGCCTGGCTGACCACACCTAGCTAATTTAACAGAGTGAGAATACGCCGGAATAGATCTATATCACTTCATTTGGTTTGGCATAGTAAAAGAGCAACACATTTAACACCACCAGGTCAAGTTACAGTGGAGACGAGACTCTGCTCACACTAAGAATATGAAATAAACGATGATCGGCTTACCCTCCTGTTTCGTGGAGGTCTCCGGGGTAGTGGTCCATGTCTGTCCCGGGGAGGGGGTGCACGGGAGGCGGGGGCAGGGGGACGTTAGCCCAGTTAGCGCCGTTGGCTTTGGTCTGTTTGGACCCGCCCTTTGTCTTCTTCTTTTTACCGCCTTTCCCACCTACACAAGCAAAAAGCAGTAAGAGAGAACATTTAGAAGAGAAGGGTTCATTTCATCAAAGAGTACAAATCAAACTAAATGAAGGAAAACACAAAGCTCCAAGTGCTGCCTTCAGTCCCAGAGCCCCAAACCAGACCACAAACATGTCACCGTCCAACAACTGTCTATGTAGGTCCCATGAAGAGATCACATAATATTTATCCGAGTTGGAATAGAACATATATTTTCTGTCTGACTAAAACAGTCACCTAAATAAGCGTGACATTTTGGTTGACTTATTTGAACTATTTGAATCTTGATTAAAACTTAAAAAGTCATTTTGGTCAAAAGAAAGACTATTCTACGGAAGCCGAGAGGGGTCACAACAAACAAATACAAATGCGACAACACAACAAAAAGCCACAACACAAAAAAAAAAAACACAACGGAAATGACCGCGAGACTCTATTTTAATGCAAACGCCACAACAAATACAAACGCCACAACACAAACGCAAATGCCGCAACACATTAAAAAGCCACAACACATCAAAAAGCCACAACGGAAGTGATCGCGGGACTCTATTTACCGACGCACCGATCAAGCGGCAAGTGAAGAAGAAGAACTACAACGTGAAAAGTAAAGGAATGAAGAAGCTGGAAACGTAAGTAAAAGTAATTTATTGTTTTATCATTATTCGTTTCACGTTGTACTTTCTTCTTCTTCACTCGCCGCTTGATTGGTCCGTCGGAAAATAGAGTCCCGCGGTCACTTCCATTGTGGCTTTTTTTGGTGTGTTGTGGATTTTTATTGTGTTGCGGCATTTGCGTTTGTGTTGTGGCATTTGTATTTGTTGCTGCGTTTGCATTAAAATAGAGTCCCGCAGTCATTTCTGTTGTGGCTTTTTTTGGTTTGTTGTTGCTTTTTCTTGTATTATCACATTTGTATTTGTTGCGGCATTTGCGTTTGTTGTGACCCCTTTCGGCTTCCGTACTCTTCAGATGTGGATAACACTATAACAGGGGTCACCAAACTTGTTTCTCTGAGGGCCACATTTTCTCTCCAGACTGTGATGGGATCGGAGTCGGGTCGGCCGTATAACAGAATTGTTTGACCCTGATGACGCAGATTATATTCTCTGAAAACCGGCACACTTTATTTACATATCAGACAAACTGCACGCTCATCACACTGAACAAAAAAAGAATCGGTCATCCTCTGATCTTTGAAAGCTCTGTCAACTTTTCGTACTTTAACATTTTGCTGTCCTTAACTGTACTACAAAACTCTGCACATGCGACTGTCACCGTTTGATTTCGAGCTTGTCAAGTGATGAAAATTCGGTGGAAAAATGTAAATATGTCATATAATTATTTAAATATACATATAAATACTTCATATAAATATAATTTTTAAATTGGAAAATCAACAAAATTCAAGATACGAATACAAGATGCAAACGTGTTATTAGTTGTCAAAAAGTAATTTTAAAAAATAGGCCATGACAACTTTTGAGAATTGTCTCATGGGGCCAGTTCAAGTGGTGAGGGGTCAGAGGGGCCTCTTACTTTGATGACCACTGCTCTATAATATCTACACCATTTACAGCCTTAATGAAGGATGAAGAAATAATAAACAAATACTGACGACAGGATTAGAGCAGTCATCTACCAACCCGGAGGTCAGAGGTGTGATTCTGTTGTTGTGTCTTTAGGTAAGACACTTGGTGAAGTGTTGGTGGAGGGGCTGATGGCACAGATTGACAGCCTCACTTCTGTTGGTTTCCTCCAGGGCAGATGTGGTTACAACAGGATCTTAACGAGTGTGGAGTACTGTATTTCCCGGGCTATTAGACGTGTTCTTAAGCCTCCAACTCCATCAAAAAACGACAGCGCAGCCTGCAATCCAGAGCGCCCTATACACAAATCCACTCGGGTGTCCCAGCACGACTTCAGTAAACCACAAAGCTGCACCACCCGCAGAACACACAAACACACACGGAGCAGACAGCGACCACACAGCGAAACACACCCACAGACACACTCATCACTCCACGCCGACGAGGAACGGAGGAAGGAACCGAAAAAATTAGCGCAATGTGCCACTTCTAGACACAACTGAACAACTGAGTCACTGCGAACACGCCGACAATCCAGTGATCCCTCCCTACACGCCACAACTGAACAAAGCCCAGAGTCACCGTGAACGCCACAAACAAACAAAACCACTCACCCATCACACTGCTGTGTTTCCTTTAAAGTCCAGTGAGGTTTATTTGTGAAAAAAGTTTGAAAATAGACCATTTAATGACAGTGCGTCTTATAATCCAGAGCACCTAATAGTCTGGAAAATACGGTAAATGAAAAGTGAGGACAGTGTGGCGTTGCGAGAGGCTTCCACACCCTGTAGCGCACATTATCAGTGTAAAACATTATTATTATTACGGAGAATTCAGTCGTACAAACTACTTATCAAAAGGTTAGAGGTAGGAGGCAGGTATAAATAAAAGTTAGCCCAAATCATTCTCAGTAAAGTCTTTCTTGAGTCTTTTGTTCAAGCTTTATTAAGGCTGATGCTGTAGTTATTATAAAGTGTTACCAAAAATGTGTTGTCAACGTGAACACATGTTTTAGTGCCCCCTGGATTCAACAACGGCACAAAGGCTGATTATAAAAGCACCGATAACTGCAGAAAACTTCACCAGCACATAACCTTCCACACAAACAGTACACACACACACACATCCACACACACACAGTGCATTCTCAGCTTTCAATGGCCCCGCGTTCAGAACCTCAAGGTCCGCTCTGATGAAAAGCTTGTGTTCGCTATTGATTGATTGGCTGGAAAAACCTCACATCTCCATAGAAACGGCCCCCCTCCCTCCTCCCCTCTCCACCTTTTTTTCCACTTTACAATGAAATCTCTCGCTCTTCACCACCACGCCGCGTAATGAATGCCCGGGCGGTGTCAGTGCGCCCCTAATGGAATTCACCGGGAGTCTATTACTACTTCCATTTCTTTTATTACAGCGACTAGCGGCTAACCCCGAGCTAACCCCGAGCTAACCCTGGGATCTCCCTGCACAATCCGTCTTCATAACGCTGCCAGCCGGGTCAATATTCCTCTTATTCCATTTGGGCACAGTGGAAGAAACCTACTTTTTACATTATTTATGCTTTATGCTTGGAAATCTGTTTTTAAGATGAGACACAGCAGATCAATTTGAAACTTTGATTTTAGTTTACTTCCATAAGCATAAGCAAAACACGGATTACAAGTTTTATATCTGTTAATGTTTTCATGTAAAAATCTGTGAAAAAAGATCAAATTGTGCATATTTGAGATCGAAAAATGAATAGAACAGTGATAATATTTCTTCCCGAGTTAATTAGTTTTGTTTAGTCAACTCCATACACCTTTATAAGAATCATTTGAGTTCAGTTGTCTCTTGTCATTTTTGACAGTTTGAGTGCAAAGTAGGTACATTTTCAATATCAGGTACTACATGACATCACACAGGACTGCTTTGATTACAGACAGGTGTTTCTGATACAAACACCTGTCTGCAGGGGCGGAGTCTGAGGTGTAGATACCTGCTCGACCAATCACAATGTTCTCCTGCATAACAGTATAAGTGTAATGCCATACTAAGGTACTACTACTACTACTACTACTAATAGTACAACTACTACTACTGCTACTACTACTACTGCTGCTGTTGCTTCTGCTAATACTACTACTAAAACTACTGCTTCTACTACGACAACTGCTTCTACTGCTGCTACTACTACTACTACTAATGCTGCTGCTACTGAGGCTACTGCTACTACTACTACTGCTTCTACTGCTGCTGCTGCTACTACTACTACTACTACTACTACTACTACTACTACTACTACTACTACTACTACTACTACTACTACTACTAAAACTACTGCTACTACTACGACAACTGCTACCAGTACAGCTACTACTCCCACTTCTACTGCTACTACTAAAATTTCTACAATGATGATGACTGCTACTACTAGTACTACTGCTACTACTACTACTACTGCGGCTACTGCTACTACTACTACTACTGCTGCTACTACTACTACTACTACTACTGAGTCTACTGCTACTACTACTACTACTACTACTACTACTACTACTACTACTACTACTACTACTACTACTACTACTACTGCTAAAACTACTGCTACTACTACGACAGCTGCTACTAGTACAGCTACTACTCCCACTTCTACTGCTACTACTACAATTTCTACAATGATGATGACTGCTACTACTAGTACTACTACTATCTGTTCATTTTTTCATGTAAACATTTGTGAAAAAAAGCTAAAATTTTGTGTATTTGAGACTGAAAAATGAATAGAACAGTGATCATATTTCTTCCTGAGTTAGTTATTTTTGTTTAGTCCCCCCTCCCATTCCTCCTAAGTCACTCCCCCTTCAGAGCGCTATCACCACTCCACATCGCTTCAGGTTTGTGAAGTTGTAGTGTATTGTTTCATGCATTTGCACATTGATGGAGTATTGTCGTGTGACCTCTCAAACCTCTAAAATGTTTCTGAAGAGGGGACGTTCTATAGAAAGAGTCGGTTTTGCATAATACCCCCTCTTTAAACCAAATCATAAAACAACTTGGGTAATGTTGTTGGTTCCACTTGAAAGCTTATGCTAAGAGAGAGAGAAAAAAAGACCAAAATAGCAACAAAACATGAAATGGATGAAAGATGAGCGTAGTTTCTCCCCTTAAGTGAAGATATATGACGTCCACTAAGCACCCGTCTGAGACCCCCCGTCCTTCCCCGTCCCTCCCCTCCCTCCCCTCCTCCTCTCCCCTCCTCCTCTCCCCTCCTCCTCTCCCCTCTCTCATCTCTGTAATATCATTAAGAGCCCAGATGGAAAAGCATAGATTTTGCAGTTGTCAACGAGAGGCAATCGATAAAAAGAAAAAGCAGACTTGAAATGGAATGATACGGCTAACACTGTAATCAGGGTGTTTATGG